GACAACCTCTCGTCAATATGCGTTTTTCGCATTGCATTGCTGCAAAAAACGCATAATAAACGAAATCGGCCGGGAACTGAAAGACTCAGGCTAGATTTTTGAAAATATGTGTTCTATAATTGCCATTTTTAGCAGACAAAAACGGTGACAGCGATTAGGACTGATCAACGACGCAATAATATCACAGTACGACAACGCTATGCTTACAAATTGGAACGAATCAGTGAAACAATGCAAAATGGATAACCTCAAGCAATGGTGGGATGCATTTCGCTTGTATTTCAGTCATTTTGACGAAGCCCATCTCGGCGATCGATTGCAAAGTTGCTTTTGAAACGGAATCTTGCAGCGATGCGAAGTTGCTCGATGAGAGATATGAGATAACATCTGTGGGCACACTGCTGCCTTCCTCATTCCTGGCTGATTCGCCGCCGTGAATTTCTTGTTCTTTGGTCGGCTATAACCAAAAATATAGAGTTTACAAAGAAAAATACAGAACAACGATATGCTAAAAAGGGCAAATTGAGCGCCGATAAGAGCAAGGGGCGCACTGCGCCTCTGCATTCTTGCAGTAAGCCGTTGCAGGCGACCAGTACATGAATGCACGAACCCAAGCCAGCACGATAATTTCTGGGTTTAGCTATCAAAGGTTCCACAGCTTGCTCCTTGCTGTAGGACTGGATGTCTGGATGTGGATGTGCAATCACGGGAGGACTGGATGTGGATGTGCAATCACGAATCAACGCTTTCAAACAGTAACTGCACGGTATATTTTTTCTTCGCATTCTGTATAAGTGTGCAAAAGGGGATAAGTGAAATCCCATCCATGCCGGATCAATCTTTTTCGACACTTTTTTAGCACTACTTGGACCGCAATTCTGAGCCAGCAAAACACTCTTCTCGGCAGGTCTGCAACACCAGCCCATCGCAATCCTTTCCACTTTTACCAGGCAACAAGCAGCTGTAGACGCATCAGCTGACCCTATCGCTAGAGCTCAAGTAGTCGAATAAATGTGGCCACAGTGGACTGAGGGGTGGCGGGTGAGGGGGAGGAGAAAGGATGCCTCAGAAAAATTCGCTAGGAGGTTAGCCACAAGCATAAGTCTTTTCTACGTCTACATATTATGAATTAAATGAAATTTTTATGCTGTGAACAGTTGGCATACCGTAGAACACTGTCCGAAAAACGGCTTGGCGAGTAGCCCAGACCTCCGTCCAAAGCTTGAGTTCGTAACTACACTGACTCCAGAGACATACGAAAGACTGACCCAAATTAGGTTTTAAGTCC